TCCCGTCTAAAGCCCGTTCACACCGCCAGCGACTTTTTCGCTGCTTGTCGCTTGTGGCTGGCAATTGATGTCGCTAGTGGGCATTCCCACTACTGGTTGCCTAGTTACCCCGTAACACTCCACTACAGCAAATGAATCACTTGCTCTCCACTGACTTCACTCCCATTGGTTGAAATTTGCTGCTTATTTGCATAAAGTTGAAGAATTCTGAACTTTTGTCGCTTGACTCGCATCGCTTGACACGCCCACATTCCGTCGCCAACGGTAACTGTCGCTCGTGTCGCCGGAAGTCGCCAGCTCTCCATTGAAAATGAATGGGATTATGTCGCTCTGTCACTGTGTGTCGCTGGCGGTGTGAACGGGGCTTAAATTATTCTGGGTCCGAATAAAACATCAGATCATGCACAGACTATCCTGTCTCTTTGAATTTAAATCTATATTTATTCACAAATAAATATAAGTGAAATCTTATGTACTGTAATGTAACAGGCTACCTGCTAGCAAGCAGGTGACCATGTCCCTTTAGTGACTCGCGTTATTTTATTAGAACTCGTGTTATTTGTTTTCCGTGCCTTTCTGAATACAGACACCAACCCCATCCCTGCACTTCACATCCCCTGCACAGCCTGGAACATAACATTTATCCGTGATGTTCATCTCGCCTTATTCTGGGTCCGAATAAAACATCAGATCATGCACAGACTATCCTGTCTCTTTGAATTTAAATCTATATTTATTCACAAATAAATATAAGTGAAATCTTATGTACTGTAATGTAACAGGCTACCTGCTAGCAAGCAGGTGACCATGTCCCTTTAGTGACTCGCGTTATTTTATTAGAACTCGTGTTATTTGTTTTCCGTGCCTTTCTGAATACAGACACCAACCCCATCCCTGCACTTCAGCTAGCCAGCCAAGCAGCACATCAACCTGGAGAGAGCTGGAGAAAGATGCCTAACAGTACAAACATCAAATATGCATTAAGTTGCTAGTTCCAATTGGTCAAAAATAAATGCACATTTATGATACAGCATGTTATTAGCTTATTAGTATATATAATTGTTGTTCAGTTAGGTACACTGTAAAAAAATCAGATCATAAAGATGTGCTACTTATGTTACTTTTACAAATTAAAATATTTTATGTTTATAATATTTTTATGAACAAATAACACTTAAAAAATATATTTTTCGCTGAGATTTGAGTAATCTCGTTGTGTATTCTACGTAAAAACGCTGTTTTGTGTCATGGTTATGCAATGACGTCATCACGCAATGACATCACAATGACATTTAGCAACTTTTAGGAACAAACGGATCTGCCTTTAGCAACGTCCCCTGAAAATTAGTTGGCAACACTGTGTGCAGGTTCGACTGGCGGCTGGCATAGAACATGGGCGGGTATATGCAAATGTTGGGGGCGTAACTATTAGTGATCCCGACTGTAACGTCACAGTCGGTGTTATGTTCTGATTCGCCTGTTTTTCAGTGGTCTTTTGCATGCACGAGATTTACATAAGGAGGAGGAAACAATGGTGTTTGAGGCTCACGGTATGTCATTTCCATGTACAGAACTGTAATTATTCAACTATGCCAAGGTAAATACAGTTTTCCATTCTATGGCACATTTAATTATACTCTTTTACTTTTGAAATAATTTAAGATTACTTCAAATTACTGAGTAATCAGCACAATTCCCAAACGTGCCCCACATTTGTTGCCTTTTTGTAGCAAAATAATAATTTAGTTAATGAGACATAATGCAGGGTGCAGATAACGCAGGAATTCATTCACAAAATGTAAACAAGTGAAAATAAGAAGTTCAAGTCTAACCAAGCTTACTATCAATCACACAATTACATTCACTTTTCTGAAAGCATTTTACTCTCAGCAGGGTGTATAATTACCATACCACCAGGAAAAAGGGAGACTCAGCAGAAAAACTAAACCGTTTTCACAAAAGGCTATTAGAAAGCTTTTGAAACGGAACCTTTAAAATGATCACTGCAGGTCATGAAATTCATGAAAGATGTGTTAAAGATTAAATGCCTTTTCTGGGCACGGTTCCTACCATGACCCCACCCTATGAGGTCATAAGAGAGCTGAGATTCGGTAAACAGCCATCTCAACATCGCAACACAAAACCTTTCAATGAAACAGCAGGCGCATCTTCACGGAAGGAGACAGCATATCATTCTGCATTATTTATTGACTCAAAAACATAGCTCCCTCTCCTCTGAGCAGTATTTCTCTGGCAGGCGGGGACCAACGACACATTTGTAAATTTAAACATGCATTGCCATTGTTGTGCAAACATTCACTGGCCGGTTTTGTGTGAACGCTATATCTGAAGACACAGCAGACATTCTTTGAGTCACAAAAAATCCTGACAGAGCACATTGTTGTTTCCCTTTTTTCCATTATGCTTTTCAATGTCAAATTCACAGAGGGATAATCAAATAAATCAGTTTACCTTGCCAATAAAAGCTTCCTGGTCCTCCAATAACAACCCGATTCTTCTGAAGGAGACATAAAAACATGTTTTCATACATTCTGTACAAGTTTGGGCAAGAATAGGCAATAACATACACAGCAATGTAAAAGCAGCTATATATATATATAGAAGTCCAAGACGAGATGTCCCATTTTAGTGTCCACGCCAAATTTAATTTATGAAAGTGATTTTATATACTTAAAAAGCATATTAAATGCAAATGTTTACATAAATGTTTCAAATACCTTTTGTGAAAATAAAATGTCAAAATATGGGTGAAATAATGGTCCATTGTCATTCAGCATAACAGATATCTTTATGTAAAAAAGGATCAACATACTTATTCTGTAATATATATATATATATAAAATAAAAAATATAAAAGAATATATAAAAGAAAAAGTGATCATATTAAATGTTATTATATTTTCGATGATTAAAATCTAAAATGTAATAATATATTATATTTCAGATTATTAAAATTATTATATTTTAGATGACCAAGTGGTTTGAAGGATGGTGGCAAGGACTGGTAAAGATTTAAAATGACAATTAATTAGTTTTTGTGGGCTGAATTATGATCCTTAAACAGTTTTATTAATATATAATTAATATATAATATATATATATATATATAACAAAATGACAACTATAACACTTAATATATAATATATATTAAAATATAATATATAATGAAGTTATATTAATATAATAATATTAACAATATAATGATTCTTGTTGTAAATATGCCTGACAAAATGTTTTAGTATATAAACTACTGTTGCACAGAATGACATTATACCTAATATCTAAATAACTAAAACAATTTCATTATTAATGTTGCAAAGAAAGAGCACACTCAATAAATAAAACATTTCATTAAAAAACAACAACAGATATAATGGGGTTTGATATGAGTTGTTTCACCTTCACAAAGTCAGCACTGAAACCTGCTTGACAAAATCCTTGTCCCTCAGGTGAGTTTGAGTCTGATGAAAAAAAAAATATATATATTCAAAGTCATTCATATATTCACAACAAGCAGAAATCGTTTTAAGGAAGTCTCAGAATGAAGGAAAGGTGAGAAAAAGTAAGGCAAACTTCAGACAGAGGAACTGTCATAACCACATGCACACTGGCACATTGTCTGGTGAGAACTTTAACTCACACATGTCTTAAAAACCATGAGTGATAAGGAGATGATGCACAACTACGATAGTCTATTAATCTTAGTTAAGACATTTCTCAGGGCGCCTACTAGATATGACCCAATAAGGGCATGAGCAGTCTGAGGTAAAGAGCGGTGATCATGTACATACTAGAGCGGCAGGGTGAATATTCCACAATGTTATTGCCTTTCTTCAGGTAACAAGTCCCAACAGGCTCTCTCTCTGACAATCCATACGTGCTCCACTGGTAGAGAGGAGCACATGCCTGAAAAAAAAAGAGATGTGCAAATAAATACAAGAGTAGTAATCATGTTCTTTCTGTAAATCAGCTCAAACCTAGTTCTTCCAAACAGCATGTTGGAAACTATCTAATTACTTTAAATCTTATTTTTAGTGCCACATCAACACTGAAAGACAAGATCAAAGTACTTCAAAATAAAAGAGGCAACAGCTTCTTACAATATTGCAATAAATATTGACATACTGCCTTTTAATCTGGGATTTCTGATGCATATAAAACTGTTTTGCGAATAAAATATTTTTATGGTCCATAAAACAAAAACGTGGTCTGTTGCAGCAGTTTTCTTTTCTTTTTGAGCTCTGTACAATCTTTTTTCAGAGCAACTTTCACACCCTCCACAGACAGACTCACCAGAATATGGTCCCCAGAGGAACGCACAGTGGCCCCAAACCATTGATTTGACTTGAACTCCATTTGCTGTCCATTGGAATTCTTCCTGTCATCTGGGATAGAAAACGACAGGGGGGGAGGGAGAACAGGAAAGGAGGAGATGGAGGGAGGAACGGAAATATAAGTTAGGTCAGTTAATTAGAATCATCAGAATGTCATCATTTCCTTTGTAGTGGACTACACTGCTCTTCCCATCACTACAATCTCATCCACTGGCGTGTTCCTCAAATTACAACTGATTTCAAAAGGTCTGATATGACAGAAGCCTCAGAGTTCAAAAAGTTGAGTTGATGTGCTGATACAAAACACTCATCTTGCTCATTACCAAACCACCTGAAGTTCAATCCTAGGTCAAGTAGAGTGACAGCTGAATCTATTCATGGCATGATAGAATTAAACCCTATACCTTTCCTGCTATTAACAAGTACAATGAACCTCTAGTGACAATAATAAGAGAAGCAGGCCCAGAGGGAAACTTTTTTTTTTTTTACAGTTTCTGTGCTCATTTTAGGGGAAATATGTGGAATTCTGGATTTTAAAAAATGCTAAAACATGTTATGAACCTCAGACTGCTAAAATCTTAATGGTAACTGAAAGCATAATCATATTACGGGATGGATGACTTATAGAAATGGAGAATGAAAGTTTTTTTCAGTGCTTCTGCAGAAGTGTCAGTGATTTGTTCATTATAACATTATTCTGACATCATTCTAATCATTAAATCACTCTTTTAGTTCTGTAATATTTACTCTAGGATTCCAAATTAATGCTCTTCCAACAATACTTTGCAGTTGAAGGTTTTCCTAGTACTGCCGTGATCCTTACACACACACACCCACACACAACCAAAAAGATATTCCCTCCCTGCGGCTGGTTCATCTCAGCCACAGTCTCAGCCTCAGAACGCACCAGCTGTTCATCAGTCTGTGCTACTGGGCTGGGAATTTCCCGGTGTTTCTCATGGTCAACAGAGTCATACAGCCCATGGTCAACAACTACCAGGCTTTACTAGAATTAAGCACTTAATTATTGCCAAACAACACAAAAGGGGAGTTGACGGTACTGCGGCTCAATGGAAACACAGTTATATAACCCTGCTGTAACAGCTCAGCATGAGTGTTGTTCCATACACAGTGTTTTCCATGTACATTTTTCTCTAATCTAGACGTTTCCAGCTCCTCAAACAGTCAGCGGGTCAGCCAGCACAGAGAACACAATTTTAAAGCCACATCATTCACAGTAAAAACATGTCAGGACACAGTTATGCTTTGGCAGTTGCTTAACAGAAGAATGTTTAAGCTTCTTTCTTGCAAAAGTCATTGTTAAGAAACAAATATAAACATTACTCTACTGCAGTTAGTGCACTGAAAGAAAAAAATAAAAAAAAATCTAAAATATCTTGAAGGTCAGTGGACAATATTGTGGCCCCAATAGGTATCCAGACACAAAGTGTTCACACAAAAATGAGAACAGATATGTATAGCTTGGCAATCCACTAACTGTACTATTATTAGGAATTAAAAATAACATATTAGCTCAGAGAAAAGGTCTAAAAATGTGCGCTATTCAAAATGAATAACTGAAGTACTAGTGAAATACTGAAGCTACAGTAATTTGTCATTAACAACTGTTTCCACTTTCCATTTGGTTTGGTATTTAATTTCAATCAATCAATTAATTAATTTAATCAATAAACAGCAATAATATTTATTTACTAAAGCTATTTTGTCATTAACAACTGCACTGTAACAATGATTTTTTAAATAATTTGGTTGGATATTTAGCATAAATAAATATTTTTTTCCACAAAATATATTTATTTAATTATATACTTCAAACTTTTCTGCTTACTCCACCATGGGTGCACAGCATCCATTAAATCTACACTATACTTGGTTCTTTTTCCAATAATTTCTTTAAGGGTGAAAAGGACACAAAGAGGAGTAGTTCAGTTGTTGGTGAGAACTCGAAGCATACTGAGATAATCCAACTGAAGACCTTTTGTTTGTCTGGTAGTTCCTCTTCTAGCAATCCAGCTTGGCTGGCAGGGTAAATCAGGCCAGACTAGTCTATAACTGTCACTGAATGCCAATGAGATCTGGCACAAAAAAACTGGTGCCTATATTCACCTCAGAGCAATGTAAGGCTGAACAAAGTCCTGTTAGTGTGAAGAATCTGCAAACTAGTTAGTAGGCCAGCACATGAATTTTGTGAATGGTAAAAAAAAAAAAAAAACCTTCTCTGTTGCAGGTCATTGCCAAGCATGTGAATTCAAAACATTCTGCAACAACAATCTTACAATCCTAGATGAGCCTTGAAATGATCCCGGACTCCCTCGCCTGTTATTTTCCCCCCACCTATTGAAAATATTTAGAGCAAAGCTGATATATGACCCAATAAATCATTAAAAAGCCACAGGCTACTCAGAAGGTCCTTTAATAAATCTGACAAACACAACCTCTTCCACTAGCATAACAGACAGACAGATAAAGCTTTAAATAACAGCATGTTGGAGCAAAGACTGCACTATGACACAGTGCTGCATCTTACCAGAGCTGTCAAACTCAATCTGGGTGCATGAGCCACTTTTGTGCCAGGGACAGTTGAAGACAGCGCCCCTCTCAGTGACTGTTGACGGGGTTTGATCAGATGTGTTTGCCCTGGGTGCACCGACCAGTATGTTTAACCTGGAAGCACAGGGTAAAATGTGTTTTAATTACTTTTGTTAAATACTAACACTAAAACGCAATAATATTATATATACCACCTGGAGTTGAAACAAGGAAATCTGTCATTTTAATTGCATAATACTGAATAATTTTATTACACATTCTAAATATTATGCATTATAAAAAAAAAAATATGATATATATATATATATACATATACATATATATATATATATATATATGTATATGTATATATATATATATATATATATATATATATATTCCATTTTTTGTTATCAACAACAGGAAATACATTAAACATTATGTCAATTCCCAAACTGGGTTAATTATGTTTGTAACTGCAGTGGATAAGTGAATTGATATAAACCTAATGATTAATTAAATCATATTAAAATGAACATATTATTTAGAAATAAAACAAATCCAACTAAAAATAAATAGTTTATTTTTATATCTACATGTCAATGTCACCATTAACCGACATCGAGATATGGTCAAATTTCTATAAAATTACAATAAAACCTATACATGAAAATTCAGTTGAACATGTATTGAATAAAATACTAAATAAACTTTATGTATTTCACATAACAGTTCTACAAAAAAAAAAAAAAGCTTAATTTGGCTACAACATACCAAAGTGTAAAACCATATAACCTTTTCACAACAGAATGTTCTCCCACTTTTTCAACATTGTTAAATGTGTTAATAAATGTATCTTTTAGAATTCTCATGCATATTTAAAAAGAATCATGCCTCTTTCTCCAAAAAAATTAATCAAAAAATGCTGCAGGCCCCTATGATATCAAAACTAGCGTACCGAAAGCACACTAGGTTTACAAATGCAACTTAGTTTACTCACTGTTTGTTATCAGGATTGAAGAAATCCACGGAAAATCCAAAGTAACTTCCTGGAGGTCCAGCGAAAACTGTGGGTTTGCTAATGTCCAGATTAAAAGAAAGTGCTTGTTCAAAATAGAAAAGAGCCACTAGAGCCCAAATCCAACAGCAGATGAGATGTTTGGCCATGTTTTGTGTCTCAGTGTGGTGTGAGAGTAGATGGAGATCGCGCTGTTTGTGGGTGGACGTCTGGATCAGCAGCACATATGATCGCCACTGATTCCGCACTCCATAACAACACAATCCCCGCAACACTCACACGAACTATTCAGCCGAGATGTCCGTACATTCGTTTCCAGCCTAAGGTATAAAATGGAAGCAATAGTCTAAAAGTAGGACACAGGACTGTTGTAGTCCTGCTCGGATGGAGCCGCGGGATCTATGGGGATGTCCCACTGTACAGGAAGTGAAAATAGACCCGCCTACTGTAGCGTCACGGTGATGTCACGAGGAACTTCCGCAGCGTTACCCAGTGAGTGACTTAAACGGGCATGAGTGAACTGGTACACATTTTAAATGCCTAGAAATCATTGTGACTCCAGGCAAGAGGAATTTGTTGTTTTATTAAAGTCTTTTGATTTATGCAGAACTATTGAAACTGCGCCACCTTGTGTTAAGAAAGGCACAAATTTGATCTGCATTTAGTTCAGGCAACAATAAACAAACGTGGATTTAATTATTTAAACTAAAATTTCAAGTAATTTTCACACATGTAATAGAAATCTTATTTTTTAAAATTAAATTTTTATTATTATTTTATTCTTCAAGGTCCAGATAGCTGTGACCATTACAAATGACTGTTTAGGGCTTGAGGAAATGTTATTCATACATGGGCTTGTCAGTGATTCATGACTTTAAACACTGGTGAAGTACATCTCCAAGAATGCAGTCTGTAAATCCCCCTGGGATCCTCCATAGACTCTGCATAAAGACATTGGGTGATTTTTTTATGTCCAGTTGGCTTGTCTTACAAGTAAAGAGGCTTGCTTTCGACCCTTAACATACAGTTAATTCAAATATATATGGAACAACTGGTGTTTTATACGATGTCATAGAGTAAAAGGCTTGAAAAGATTGTGTTTCCTGAGGAAATAAAAGGCACCAGTTACAAATTGGAACATAAACGACATTCTCACTCTCTAGGGAACAAAGTCACTTTTGTTTTAGAGCTGACCAGTCATGTGTGTGGTCAAAGGGGCTTTGGGGACCATGTGATACATGGCAGAGTGGCAGAATAATTATGTTTGCCTGGTGCGCATCAAGATTAGACTCACTGTACGATGGACGTTCTTCACTTTGAATGACTGTCATTTTCCAATAAGGTGTTCTGACTTTTTAGGGCTTACTAGAATAGGAATGACTTGCTAGATCTAGAAAATGTTTTAAAGTTGAACAAAATGCCATATAGGGCAAATGTTTTGTAGCTTTAAAAGCCTTCAAATTATTTTCAACAGAAAAGTCATGTTCTAATTTAACATAAATTCATTGTCCGTATTATCAGAAGCACACTACCATTTAAATGTTTTAAGAAGTCTCACCAAGTACAGTAAAAACAGTAATACTGTGGAACATTATTATAGTTTAAATAACTGTTTTCTATTTTAATAGATTTGTTTAATGCATTATATAAAATGTATCATTTATTTCAGTGACGGAAAGCTGAATTTTCAGCAGTCACTACTCAAATCTTCAGTGTCACATGATGCTCCAGAAGTCATTCTAATACGCTGAATTGGTGTTTGATAAACATTTTTTAAATTATTATCAACGGTTAATATTTTTGTGGTAATTTATTTTACATAGTAATATTTTGTAACATTGTGAATGTCTTTACTTTTGATCAATTTAATACTGAATAAAAGTATTAATTTCGCTAACCAAAAAAACCTACTGAACACTTGTGTATCTTTGTTTTTTTTCACTGCAGGACTGTCACAAAATTACATAATCCAAGTCCACAGGCTTATTATTATCATACAAGAAACATGATTTCTTTATACTCCAATTACTAAAAAGAACTATCAGAAAGCCAACTGGTTGTTACTATTTGTTTTTATGCAATAAGAGGTTGTATCCTTTTTTTTTTCCAGTCTTTTGGCCACTGACAACAGAAGGATGCTGGGTTTAAAATGTCTTGACACTGGCTTTGTACTAATGGAAATGGAGGAAATACTTTGTTAACAGTCTGTTGCCAGCCAGCTGCTCATTATACGCTCCATATACAGGCCCTATTGGGGTTGGTTCTGCGATAATGACCGGATGACTGTACATGATCCCCACTCACCTAATAAATAAATACATGTAAATTAAATATTGAGTGCTGAAATTATTTTATAATCTTACCTGTGTATTGTCTTAAAGCTTCTGCAAAGAAGAAAAACAGTCCACTACAACATACAACACAATGGATGGCACTATTGACCAATCAGATTCAAGTATTCTATTATATATTTATGTTATGACCAACCTTGACTATGAGATCAATTCAGTTTGAGACACTCAATAATTCACTGCAGCCGCTGCAAAAAAATAAATAAAAAAATGTCTGTCTCTATACTTAAAATTATTTTTCATATATAACAGGAGACGGCTTTGTATGTGATTTTTCAACTGCCACAATTTTCAAAAATGTTTTTGGATTCTTTTATGGAACTTTTATGGCTCTGTAAGTGATTTCAAGTGATCAACTTGAAGCGCCTCACCATCTTTGTGATTTGTGGGTAGAGCTCTGGTAATAAACATCTCCACATTCCCACGTATCATCAGCCTCCTCATTGTCATCGTTAACAAGCTCCGGTCTGAACTCAAACCCTTCCCTTCCACTGAGCTGCAGGACATGAAAGCAAGAGATTAGTGTCATTTAACACAAAAGACAACAACATGAAAGAGTCTTGAAGAACCAGGGGCCTGTTTCATAAAACAAGTTTACCAAA